TATATATATATATATATATAATTGGAATTACGTTATTCATTTATTTGATTTAATTATTGTTTCCGTATTGTTTCTAATACAATTATTACCAACAATAAACAACAACGTTTACATATATTCATGAACAATGTACCTGGGTATTGCAATAACTCGCGTACTTGTATCTTTATTTACATAATAATGTATAAAACTATTACGCATAAAATACAAACTTATGATGTCACCTATTAAAATGTCAAATAATTGTACAGTTTCGAGGTTATTCAACTACATTCAACTCTATTCACCTCTCATTAGGAAGTAATAGATGGAATTTGTTCGAAAAAAAAAAAACAGTAGAAGTGGCGCTATCTAGTGGTAAGCGGTCAATATTTTTTTTCTCCGTGACAGTGTGTCAAGTAAAACATTGTAATACTTTAAATAATAATCTATATCTATGTTTTTTACGAATTTTTAATTGTATATATTTAATATTTATTACTTGTTACCACGACTGTTCGAAGCAAGCGTATATAATCGTCTGTCACTCAAACATTTTAATAAATTTCAATATAACCAACAAGAATATGGTCATCTGTGTAAGAAAAGTAGTTGTACCATTATCACGATCGATTATAACAAATTTTCGAGTAATTCGTCGAATGAATACAGCGATAAAAACTGATTCTGTAAAGTCCTTGTTTTATAAGGAATACGGAGAACCTGTAGATGTTTTACATATTACAACACAAACCATCAATCAACCAGAAAGCAATCAAGTAAACAAATTTGTTGTAATGATTAAGATGACACGATAATTTTATAAATATGTTAGAAACATTGTGTTAATTTTTGTTTTCAAAGGTTTCGGTAAAATGGTTGTTAGCACCTGTTAATCCTGCAGATATTAATACGATACAAGGTAAATATCCAAGTAAACCACCCTTACCAGCTATACCAGGTAACGAAGGAGTAGGCGAAGTAATAGCTGTTGGACCTAATGTGAAGGATTTAAGTGTTGGTGACAGAGTTATCCCGAACGGTGTTAATTTAGGAACATGGAGAACCCATGCGAATTACAAGTCGGAAGAACTTATGAAGGTGGAAAATTCAGTTTTTCTGTCAAGTCAATATAGTATCCGTAATTATTTAAATAAAATGATTTCTTTTTACAACATCAGGTTCCAAAAGATGTTGGCACTATCGAAGCTAGTATGTTAAATGTCAATCCATGTACCGCTTATAGAATGCTTAAAGATTTTGTGGCATTAGGACCTGGGGATACCGTGATTCAGAACGGTGGAAACTCTGCAGTTGGACAAATGGTTATACAGTTATGTAAAGCATGGAATTTTAAATCCGTTAATGTTGTCAGAGATAGACCAAACATAACAGAATTGAAGGTATAAGCCAAATTAAATATATAAAGCTTTAAATTACTTAAACATTAAACGCTTTACAGAATTATTTAATTAATTTGGGCGCGGACGAAGTATTTACCGAAGATGAAATAAGAAAGACACAAATTTTTAAAAATAAAAAGTTACCCCCACCGAAACTAGCTCTTAATTGTATATGTGGACAAAATGCATTAGAAATCATGCGTCATTTATCGCATGGTGGTATTATGGTAACTTATGGTGGCATGTCTAGAGAACCTATAACAGTTCCTACTTCTGCACTTATTTTCAAGGTGATGCATTTTAATCGAATTTATACAATATTTAATAGTACGATTAAATAAACATTTTTTAACGGTTTCGTGACGTGAATAGGATATTACCTTAAAAGGATTTTGGATGACAGCATGGACAAAAGCAAATATGAATTCTAAAGAGCGGGAAAATATGTTTACTCAACTAGGAATATTATTCAGAGATAAAAAAATGAAAGCTCCACCGCATAAATTAGTTCCATTTTGTCAGTATCAGGAAGCTGTTATAAATGCACTTAATATGAATGGTCGAATTGGGGTAAAGTATATTTTGGATATGACAAAATCTTAAATTTCCTTTCCTAAGGAATAAAAACCTAATAACTTCTTAAAATGCCTATTGCATTACTTACATATTTAGTAACTTTCTCAGCAAGATATTGACGTCGCAATTTAGAGAATATCTATTTTATAATGCAAAGTATTTCGTTAAAAGAGATTAATTCAAATTATAATTAATTAATATTTTCATTACAATTCACGACAAATATTCGATACATAGTAAATTTACGTAAATTATTATGAAAATAATTGCAAGACAAATAATTATATTTAATAAATATCAATGATTAATCGATGAATTTTTATATATAAAATAGATTCCTTTGTTTTATAAAGAATAAATTTGTGTATTATAAAACATTGTATTATAATGTACAAGCCATTTACCTATAATTGTAAAGAAAATGTATAAGAATATTTTGTTTATTTGTTACGGAATTGTTGCGGTGTAATTTACAAATAAATTAAAAAAGAAAAGTTTATTCTGCTTTATCCAGGAGTTCTAACAAATCCATGTTATGGTTTATTCCCTCGGGTTCATCTTCGAAAAAGTCGGCACGTATATTGTCAAGTTTTATTTTATAATCCTCGTTAAATTTCGTTTTCTCCTGCTTAATGATCGTTGTATTATCTTCACCGTCTTCCTTGGAATTACCTTCTTCTTTTTCTACGTTTGCATTATTATTATCTTCGTTTGATAATAAATTCAAACTAAATGGTCGTTTATACGAAGTTTCCTCTGTACCTAATTGAACAGCTAACATACCAAGTTCTGCTCTTGTGCCACAATCTTTTAAGTAATTGTCATTTTCTTGCTCAGAAGTTAATTTCGATATGTCATGCGTCATTGCATACCTATACAATATATACGAATATATTTATGTTTCTATGCAATTAATATCATTTGCTTACATATTCTTTCCCAATAACGTGTCGCGTTCACCGAAAAGATTAAAAGAACCATTGCAGTAAGTTTTCAGATCCACATCACATATTTTTGAGCGAGAAAGGTGATCTTTATTTTCTTCATATTTTTCATCGTATTTGTGATTTGTTATATTGAAAGTACCATCATCATTTTGTAATCCAAGTCTGAGAAGAACCGATACCCTTACGCGATACGGTTCTAATTCTTTTAAGCAGGTATTTCTGGCATTCCAAATTTCCTCAAAAGTTAAAGAACCATAAAACTGTAGGGAACGAAGATCGTTAAAAATAAGCAATTTAATTAACTAATAACATGCTTACATCGACCACCATCTGATGTATTAATCCCACGCATTGCTGAGCATTAGGATGGCTGACCATATCACGCATTGCATCCGTGTGATTCAATGTTAGCAAGATAACTTCTATAGGACCTGTTGCTACAGTCAGTTGATATTTTACCATCATAATCATTAAATCAAACAGTTTATTCATACTGTTTTTATCGAGCTTCATAATTGACGATAACACGACACACTCTAAAGTAGACCTTAGAACAGGTATTCCGGTCAAAGGTTTCTCCTCGAATATACAAGACAATATTTTTGGATTGAGTAACGCAGCAGTTACATCGTCCAACACTAAAAAACGAAATAAAGATTTAGTAATGTTAACTGAAATATATATATATATAATGCAGCAACGTAAAAAAGATACTATAAAGTTAATAACAAGCTAAATTTTCCTTTTTTCACACGGCATTGAACTAGCCTTGTATAGTTTTATCAACATTAATTCTTTGTGCCTTTAATCTCTGTCGTAAAACATATAACATTTCACCACCCATGTTTAAATAAAGAATAGGTGTTGCACATAGAGACATTTCTGATAAAAATTCGTAATGTTCGCTTTAAGTATAAAGTACTACTGGTTTGAGATAGACATTATGTGATTTAATAGTATCGTTGCCTTGGTGACAAAAGTATACACAACTAAATGATGCAGTAGAATTACAAAACGATCGATGGCAGCGTGAATTAATCGATGAAATTTTACACCACGTATCAACGATACTATAAATACACAAAACAACGAACAGTGGACAAGGATATGACACGTGCTTCTCTTCCATGGAGTCCCTTAACTTATAAAGAATTTCTTCATTAATTTACTACTTACGGTATACTTGCTAATACAGTATATTAAGAAAAATCATTTACACAGCTTTACGCAGCCGAGCATAGTATGTAAATTTATTCCAATAACGCGACTAAAATTCTGTAAAAGTATGCGATAGAAAAAGTTTTCTTTATAAGTAATAAGGTACAGGCAAACATTTCCTTCAACACAACGATCCAGTTCTAGTAGTTTTCATAATTAATTTATTTTTCAAAACACCTTAATGTAACTATAATAAGTTATTATAATTGTATAATTATAGAAAAAAATCATTCGATGATAATTAACAATTTAATGGTTAATCGTCAACAAACATAGTATTTATAAATTAACTTTTCGTAAGTAACAGTTTTTAACTCTGCAGTATCAATTTCAAATTTTCACAATATTAATTCATATGCACCTTCTATTTGTATTCCATCGTTCATTCGGAAACATTCTTCGAAATCGGACAAAAAACAAAGAACGCTTAATATTTGCATTATGTACTAAATAGCTACTAAGTAATCGAGAATAATATTTGTTCTTGTAACAATATTAAATAACAATAACGTCAATCGGTATAAAATAATACAAGTGGACGGTTACAGATAACAAAAGATATTGCATTCCGCGTTTTTTTTTTTATAAAATATCTTAAATCTAAGGTCAAAATTGGTTTAGTTATATGGAACAGTTTATATCGTAGAAAGAATTTAGTAGCCTTGTCACTTCAATTGTTTCTCTCTACTTACCTACATATTTATAACATACGACGATTTCTTTCCAAAAAATATGACATACATTTTTATCAGTCTAATATTAATCTATAGTACATATTACTGCACAGACTTGTTCTCCAAATATTTTGTATAGTAGATTTGTAATACTATTTTAAGTACAATTTTATTGAGAACCTAACGAACCGTAACGAAAATATCACTGAATTTCATACCCCATTAATGCGCGTATAAATGGAATTTAAGCATTAATGAAATTAATAATAAGTAGCGGTAAATAAAATTTTTATACAGATTTATAAATCTTAAGTAAATATAAATGTTTCGAACTGTGCTTGTTTAAAAGAAAACAATTACAATATTTAATGATATTCAAACAGTCTAATAACTATATGAAACACACTGTCGCAAAAATTGTCAAGTACCCTGTATACATTTACGTAACATTTTATTCCATAAATTATTGCACATTGTAAACGTTACGTGTTTGCAGCATTTAACATAAGCAGAATACTTTACTTAACTAAAAGTTTATAAAAAAAAAAAAAAAAAAAAAAAAAAAAAAGTCGATTTAACACGAATAATAAACTGATTAGCTTGCCTTTGATTGTATGCTTTATATACAAAATATTAGCTAAATACCTTACACTGTAATTTCTAGAGAGTTTTCGAAAAATAAATTAAACGTTAAATAATTATAAAAAGCATTTCAAATGAAATTCGTTACATGTACCAAAACGAATAAATAAAAACTGTATATTATATCAAAAAACTTAAAATTCATTACCTTTGATTTTCATATCATTTATTTAAAATGTATAAACCTGTTGCCATTTTGAAGATGCTCATATACTGTATCCTATCTATTGTTGTATGTAAAGGGACTTGTTCAAATATTATTTTCGTCGACGAAAAAGTTGAAACAGAAGATACTCCGAAGAATCAGATTATAATAGAATCAACTCTAACTATAGAACTCGAGGTAATTATCACAAAAAATTTTTAAGAATATGGAATTTAACAACGAACAATCGTTTAGTATCACAGTGTATTCACAAATGAATCAAAGGAAATTAACTTCCTTTAAAATCATATAAATTCAAGAAATTGGTAAAAAGATTAAAAATCTACAATTTTTTTTCTTTTCATCTACAACACGTATGCGTATCCGCTTTCTCTCCAGATGTTGGACAAAATTATACCATTTCTTTTATCTTGCGCAATGATTACCTTAACAATATTTAGGAATTTCTCGAAACGTATTTCATAAAGAATCTTTCTGTTTCAATATAATATTAATGCAATTTATATTTCAATTTACAAATTGTATGTCCAAGTCCCTTTTGCCGATTGAATGTAACGAAGCGGGACAACCGTGTTCCTAATATCAGGGCTTTTTGATCTCCTTACGCAATCCTGACTTAAAACTCTGCATCCCGGACTCAAAGTTAATCCAGTGTAATTACCTCGCGGAATACTGTCACTACTTGCCACCCTTCTAACATCATTGGCCTTCTTCTCTTCGCAATTGTTAACTACCGACATCAAATTGTCTGGCACAGAGTCTCTGAGTTTATACATGTACTGATTATTGCCGAAACACCTTGACGTTGTATTGATGGATACATTTTTTGGACTTCGCATCAAACGACTTTCAGCGCATCCGTTATGACGAATTTGACGCTTATCGACGTTATCGTCGATCGAGTGTCGATTATACGAATGATGGTCGAGATTTAAATTTGCGTCGTCGATACACTGGCAAGAGATGATCGTATTATCGACAGAATCCGAAAAATCTGGACTTGGAATCGAAGAAATGCTGCCTACGCGATGAAAGGCGACCGTTCCCTGGGTGTTTTGGGAACGGTGTCAGAAACATCATTCCTCTAATTCGTCCATTCGATTCCTAACAGCCATTTCTACCACTTCTAAACTTGGATAGTCAAGTTCTTTAACCAAGCATAATACAGCTGATAATATGTTTGAGTTCTAAAATAAAAATATTCGATAAGTGTAACGTTTACTTTTCTACCTCTAGCATTACATAAAATAATTCTGAAACATACTCTCGTAACAGGTCTTCTATGATAATGAAACTGAGATCTACATTTGTCCTTGTCAGAATGTCTTACCCAACCAGGCACTTGAGTCGAATCTTCCTGCTGTATCGAGAAATTGATTATACTTCTTTTTGTATCATTCGAATAGGTTAAAGATCAATGACAATCACGAACCCGTTCAACATTATGATGAACAGTCATTCGTCTAGGTTGAGATGGTAGTTGATGTTCCTCATAGTCCGATTTTATTCTTTGATCATGATGTTCCTCGTATTCTGGTTTCAATCTGTTATCATAATCATAATGGTTCCTTTCTGCGCGTCTGTCGTCCACGGATTCATTAACCGAGTACTGCATTCGAGGAGATGTTGGTGGATAAGAACGTTGAGGTGTATCGTTATTACCATATTCCACGTAATTTCGTCTTTCATCGTAATCCCCATTGTGCCTAGAAACTGCTGGTCGGTCATCGTATTCCTAAAAATTATTTCAACATAACAAAGCATCCTTATTAACTCGTATATATATATATATAAAATAACAGTAAACAAATTCTGTTTAATTTCTTGGAAATCTATGTTAATACATATAACGAAATTAATTTAATTTATTTTCATCGATCTGTTTTACTTGCATAGGATAATTATTTTCATAATTAAAATATGAAAAAAATTATCGAGAGGGCAAATTTTTTGTATACGATTTTGTATAGAAAATATTTTTACAACTTAACGTATAAATATTGCCAGAAATCTATCTCACGCACTTAACGGATTTACAATTTTTTTTTTTACCTTTTGTTTCTTATCTATTCGATGTTTAAAATTATATGCCACTAATCGAGCAATTGTACGTACTATAAAACTAAAACTAAAGAACATAAAGACTATCAAAGTAGCTCTAATAAACTACTATATGGCACAAACGTTTGTGCATTCTAAAATGTACCTTGATTATTTCAATAGTGTTAGTGGCCACACTTTCATTGACGCTGCGTGTCTCTGTACGTGCAGTATCGTCTTTGCTTTCATTCTTTGACTGTCCATTCTGTAGCTGTCAGTATACGATGGTAGGTAAGAGTTGCAAACAATATAATTTTACTTAATCGTTAAATATTAATTTTATTATTTCAATTACCAACATTACTAAGAGAAAAAACTCGATTACGCTTCTAAATTTAGCAAGTAAATAAAAGTAATTCATTAAAAATACGATAATCATGATTCATTGGCAATTCATTAAGAATAGGATAATCCGATTATTTTTTACAGGTAAAAGCCTACTAGCAATAACCTGTTCTCGTGCAAAGTGAACATACAATTAATTGACTTACTTCATACGTATACTGATTATTTTGTGAATAATGATGGGACGGCGAAGTATTATAATTTGCATTTCTGTGATCCGGATCATGATATTCTTCTTGAGCATGCTGCGTTTCTTCGAAACTTCTCTGTGAACAAATATAAAATGTTGCATTTTTCTAACACAAGTTACATACGAAAATTTTAATTATTACAAATAAAATTTTTGTTAAGTAAATTAAAAGAATGTAAACTTTACGTTACCTGATCACTCGAGGAACTGTATCTTCGATGTCTTATCACTTCAGTTTCTTCTATATATTCAGTAGCAATATCCTAATTATATAAATGTTATTGAAATGTTAGAATTACTTATTAAAAAAAGCATTAGTAAAATGCTTCGTTACAAATTTGTTATTGAATTAAGTAAAATTATAGTTTATTATATATTACGAAAGTTAAGTTTAGTACCTACTTCGATTAACAATATCTAGTACATGTTATCGATGAAACAAAATAAAAATTGTAACGTAAATATTTCACGCCGAAGTAAGAAATAATGATTTCTATAAAAATTTTATGGACGAAATCTTACTTCTGGACTAACTGTATCCGACTGAGGAGGGGATGCATCCATATCAAGAGGATGAACTAAAATTCGCCCTCTTGCTAATGCAGTTTGCACTTCTTCGGGTGACACGACTTTGTCATCGAGTTTCTGCAAGTTTGGTAAAGCTCTCAAAACAGCCATTCGATACCTAAAAACAAATTCATAGATCATAATACCAGTTCAATAATTATTAACTAATCCAATACAATTAAATATACCCTTCTTTTTCGGCGCAAGGATTTTCACCAAGCCATAGATTTCGTAAATTAGGTAATCCTTGAAGGTAACAAACTTCGTTCAAATCTTTAATATTATTCTTTCTTACAAACAAATCTTGAAGACTTAAACAGTATTGAAAATCAGCAAGAGTATTGATATTATTTACACTGAAAATAAATAAAAGTAAATAAATAAAAACTTATAGATGTACATTAATGTTATATCCTAGAGTTTAAATGTTTTCACAGTACCGCTTATGTACATGTACATATATGTACATAATTATTTTAATTACATTTTTTACATCGCTTATGAACTAAATCTTATGTCAGTTTACATATTCTGAATATATGTTATCATATTAATACAATTAAGAAAATTAAATCCTTTATTATAAATATAATCGCATAATAAATATAAATCATTTACATGTATGTACTTTTACTACAAAATTGTAAAGTAAAAATTTACATTCTGCCACCTTCTTTACTGAATCTTACTAAAGTGGGACTTTATTACTATAAAATAAAATGTAAACATAAAACAAAAAAAAAATTGCTATTAAATATCAAACTCACAGATGAAAATCTCATATTATTTTCAATATTTGCAGTTTTCATAGTTAATATTAATCTTAAATATCTTTTTTAAAATTCTAGATTTATACGATCAATTGGAGTTTTCTTTAATAGCATTGAAATATATTACAATGAATTCAGAATATACGTAGGTAGAACAACTTCTGAAGTTGTGGGTTGTACCTATGATCTTGAGTTTTATATAAACATGTCCATAGTAGGAGTGCAGTATTAAAAGTTTTAAATGACTGAGCTCATTGCTGTAATACAATCAATGTGTTAATTATTATTAAATCTTTTCTAAATGATATATATACATACATATATATATATATATATATATATATGAATCAAATAGATATTATATTAGAAGATAATTTCCTTATAATATAAAAGTGAATACTTCAATTTCTTACCTTAATGACAATACCTCCACATTTTTCATTTTCCTTAAAATGCTTACATCAGTCAATTCTGTACCCCTAGATTAATAATACGTAAATATAAATATACGATGTATCAAAAAATTTAAAAAATTGAAAATCATTTTATAAAGAAAAAATAAGATAATTTGTAATATTTCTGATTCAACTTTTAAAACGATCTATCTCGAATCGAATTTCAGATCAGTGTAAGACAATTAAATTGATTTATATAAAAATAAGACATCGTTAACCTGTATATAAATTATTCTATCTTAACGTATTACAAGATTTGTGGATGAATAAATTTTTCAGTTCATTATAAATCAAATAAAATGATAGAACGTAAAGATGAATTAATCATTACAACAATATATTTTTGAACAAAAAAAACGTGTAAAAAACTGTAAATCGTATACATTACAACTACTATAAATGATACACGGTACGCTGAACTTGTCATTTTAATTCTACAACTCATAACAATTATTTAATAGTAAAAGAACAAATAACAATTCGTTTGAAAAGTATAACATTTCGATTAGTACATACCAACAATTAAGTTTCTTCACAGCAGAGAAGTCAGACATTCGTGTTCGAGCCACGACCATTTCTTCCGTTAATTTTACCATAATGAAATTTACGATTTGTAAAATTAATTGAAATAAAATAACAAGAAATCCCGCGGATATTAGAAACAACTAGAAGAAAAGTATAATTAAGATCATCACGATAAATTTCTCAAACGTAAATCGAAACTGCAATCAAAACTTGTCGCCATCATGGCTTGCTGCTGTTGACTAGTTGAAAAATACAATGCGTAACTTTCACAAAATGCATATATACTTCATTGAATGGGCTAAGTATACGTATATGTATCATGTCGCTAGTGCAATATAGATATATATATATATATATATATATATATGAATCAAATAGATATTATATTAGAAGATAATTTCCTTATAATATAAAAGTGAATACTTCAATTTCTTACCTTAATGACAATACCTCCACATTTTTCATTTTCCTTAAAATGCTTACATCAGTCAATTCTGTACCCCTAGATTAATAATACGTAAATATAAATATACGATGTATCAAAAAATTTAAAAAATTGAAAATCATTTTATAAAGAAAAAATAAGATAATTTGTAATATTTCTGATTCAACTTTTAAAACGATCTATCTCGAATCGAATTTCAGATCAGTGTAAGACAATTAAATTGATTTATATAAAAATAAGACATCGTTAACCTGTATATAAATTATTCTATCTTAACGTATTACAAGATTTGTGGATGAATAAATTTTTCAGTTCATTATAAATCAAATAAAATGATAGAACGTAAAGATGAATTAATCATTACAACAATATATTTTTGAACAAAAAAAACGTGTAAAAAACTGTAAATCGTATACATTACAACTACTATAAATGATACACGGTACGCTGAACTTGTCATTTTAATTCTACAACTCATAACAATTATTTAATAGTAAAAGAACAAATAACAATTCGTTTGAAAAGTATAACATTTCGATTAGTACATACCAACAATTAAGTTTCTTCACAGCAGAGAAGTCAGACATTCGTGTTCGAGCCACGACCATTTCTTCCGTTAATTTTACCATAATGAAATTTACGATTTGTAAAATTAATTGAAATAAAATAACAAGAAATCCCGCGGATATTAGAAACAACTAGAAGAAAAGTATAATTAAGATCATCACGATAAATTTCTCAAACGTAAATCGAAACTGCAATCAAAACTTGTCGCCATCATGGCTTGCTGCTGTTGACTAGTTGAAAAATACAATGCGTAACTTTCACAAAATGCATATATACTTCATTGAATGGGCTAAGTATACGTATATGTATCATGTCGCTAGTGCAATATAGATATGTAACTCAGTACAATTTTTTGAATCATGTGTATACATATATATGTATATATAATTTTTATTATGTTCTAAATGGTTTGTGAATTTCTGTGAGAAAAAGTAAAGACAACAGTGGTTCGAAAAAACGGAGATATGCGGTGAATATGTCCTTCTTTTTTCTATTACCCTCCCTACTTGCAATAATACGTGTACACGTATTCCATTCTATATGTATTCTTTATTTCTAGCTTTCCAACGTGCTAGGGAAATTATTCCCGCTTCAATGGTATACTTTTTCTTTTCATTGTAGCATTGTATTGTAGCGAAGAATTGAAGTTTTGTAAAATCGTAGACGCACTCGTGGTAAAAAAAATGTGTATGATATTCATATGATAGCACGCGTGAGAAAATAAAAAAGGAAACAACAATTTTAATATCATTTTATTCACACGAAAATGTCGATGGCATCAAATATCGTAAAAATGCACAAAGTTGGGAAATTAAATTCCTCGATTGATATCATCCCATTACAAGAACTCGGTGAAGATCATAAATCAAAAACTATGAATAACAAACACAAAGTTGATTCTTCCCATAGATATTTACGTGATCAATTATTAATTTCACGTGTACAAACGGTAATTTGGTTATTTCATAACATTTTTATTTAGCTATATTAATATATATACATAAAATATTCGCATATATATTTTACATTCAATCTGTATGCAACAATTTTAGTTAATTCTTAATTAAAGATCTTAATTAATTCTTAATCACATCGACAAGCTTTAAACACTTGCTAGCACATGCATGTACAATTTTTCTGTGTCCGTTCGAACATTATAAAATTTCTATTTTTTTTTTTTAGTATATGCATGAAAATGAAAACAAAGTCTATATAGATGTTAATGAAATGGCAGATGCTTTACAAAGAAAATATCGTGATTATCGTATTAAAAAAAGAGGTCCATTTAGAGCACTAGTACGCAAAGCTTACGACGAACTTACAGAAAGGTTTGCAAAGAAATATTGTGCTCGTGACTGGCCTGCCTACGATGACGAAGACGAAGAAGAAGAAGTCGATGTTGAGGTAATTGCCTACATTATCGAAGCGGTATGTATATAATAGTAAATGTTAAAATATATCATTTTTAGTCAGATCCTCAAAATACCATGTTGGATGGTATGTTATTAAAAATGTATAAAAAGTCACAAAATAAACAAAATGGAAATTCCAGTGATAAAGAACTTATAGATATTAGCAGCGATGACGACGTAAGCAAAGTAGAATCAAATTCTAACAAAACAAACGAGTCCGAGATCACGGAAAAGAATCTACAACAAAAACCTGGTCCATCCTCCTGTGCAAAGCAAGCTGAACCTACTCAAGAAGAACATATAAAAATAGTAAAAAGATTCTTTCATTTATATCGTAACGTTCGAATCGAATACTTTTTTAATATCCTTCGTTTTAAGCGACATTCAAAATAAAATAATACCAATAAAACTTATATCGCGTATAAAGTATTGCATTACTCAATTTTATTTTTATAGCCAGTAAGAGAAACACAACAAGGTAAAGATATAATAAGAAGATCAAGAACAACAGCAATAACTACAACAGGAATTACAGAACTTGTTAACAGAAAGCGACAACGGGATAGAGATAGCGATAATACTCAATTCACGTTCTCAAAGAAAGCTAAAGGAGTACCTATTTCTGAGCCGAAAGTTACATTTACAGACATAGGAGGAAACGACAAAGTTTTAAAAACTGTATGTAAATTACTTGCACATATGAAACATCCAGAAATTTTCAAACAACTTGGCATATCACCACCACGAGGATTTTTACTTCATGGTCCACCCGGATGTGGAAAAACTTTATTAGCGTACGCTATCGCAGGAGTAAGATGCAACTTAATTATCGATACGTGTATTTTACTGTACGATCATGAAATTTAAATATATTAACGTTTATTTAATTTACGCGTATAGGAATTAGGAATACCCTTATTAAAGGTAGCAGCACCTGAACTAGTGGCTGGTGTATCAGGGGAAAGTGAGGCAAGAATTCGAGAGCTCTTCGAACAGGCACTTGCACTTGCACCCTGTGTAATTTTTCTAGATGAAATCGATGCTGTAGCACCACACAGAGCTACGGCTCAAAGAGAAATGGAGAGAAGAATCGTAGCGCAGTTACTGTCGTGTTTGGATGGTACAGTATTATATAAAATTACGTTAATTGTCAGTTCAGTGTTGCGATACAAGTAATATATTTTATCGAATAGAACTGAGTCTGAAAGAGAACGGTATTAGGGTATTAGTACTCGGAGCAACGAATCGACCTGATTCGTTAGATCCAGCGTTGAGAAGAGCTGGTCGGTTCGATCATGAAGTTTGCCTTGGGATACCCGATAGGGACGCTAGAGCAAAAATTTTAGCCGTACATACGGAAAAAGTGGCACTTGCCCCTAATGTTAGTTTATCTACGATTGCTTCGCTTACACCTGGTTTTGTTGGTGCTGATTTAGTTGCGTTAATTAGGGAAGCAGCCATGGCAGCTGTAGATAGGTAATCGTTGTTTGAACTTATTTAAAGATATTGCAAAGATGCGTTTCGATGTAATTAAATGTAATTTTTAAAATTACATTTTTTTATTTTCAGAATACTCGAAGATTTAAATAGGTCCGTGCCAGATAATAAATCGCCGGAAACATCGGAAGTTACTAACGACACCGATAAAGAATCACAAAATTTTGAAAATTCTGGCAATCTAGTTGAAGAACCAACAATCGAACCATCTACCTCAGATCAAAATGATGTTCCTAAATTAGACAAGACGAGTAATCCAGATAATCTGCAAACACCGTTGGAGATGGACGTAACGCAAGAAAATTCAAAATCTCCCGATTTAACAGGGTTACTCACTTGGTTACGCAACGATCCACCGATTCCGTCAGAACGACTTTCAAGCTTGTGTATCGAACATAGCGATTTTGAAGCCGCGCTTCGTATAATACAGCCATCTGCGAAAAGAGAAGGTTTCGCGACTGTACCTGACGTTACGTGGGACGATGTCGGTTCTTTAAGAGATATCAGAGAGGAATTGCAAATGACTATACTCGTAAGTAGATTCGTACTCACGAGATACTAAAATAATCTGACCAAATCAGTATACGTCGTTTAAAACATATGGTAGATGCTTTATTTTTGCTTTCTCTTCTTTTTCTGTTGTGTTCGACATTCTAGGCTCCAGTTCGACATTCTGAACATTTTACAGCCTTAGGATTAACGACACCTACTGGAGTATTATTATGTGGTCCGCCCGGTTGCGGAAAAACATTGTTAGCTAAAGCTATCGCGAACGAAGCGGGTATTAATTTTATTTCCGTTAAAGGGCCAGAACTGTTAAATATGGTAATGATATTTGTTACTGATTTTCTACCTTTCGAACGTAAATATTTTTCTATGTCACAAAAGAAGCATTATACATTTCGTTCTGTCTCATTTCAGTACGTCGGCGAAAGTGAAAAAGCAGTTCGACAGTGTTTTATCAGAGCAAGAAATTCTGCACCGTGCGTTATATTTTTTGACGAATTAGACGCGTTATGCCCTAGAAGATCGGAAGGTGATAACTCCGCGACCTCGCGCGTCGTGAACCAAATGCTTACCGAAATGGATGGAGTCGAAGGACGACAAGGAGTATTTTTGATGGCTGCAAGTAATCGACCCGATATCATTGATCCAGCCGTGTTAAGACCAGGAAGATTGGATAAAATTTTATACGTTGATTTGCCTACATCCGCGGATCGTGTCGATATTTTAAGAGCATTAACAAAGGTATTTTATCAAAAAGAGTATGATCGATAAGCGAACGTTACTTTCAATAATCTTTCAAATTACGAACAAACTTGTATTCGCACAGAATGCAACTAAACCAAAATTAGCGGTGGATGTAAATCTTGAAGAAATAGGATATAACAGTAAGTGCGATGGTTATACTGGCGCAGATTTGGCAGCTTTGATTAGAGAAGCTGGAATCGAGGCATTAAGAGATTTAATGGATATGCATTATTCGGGACAACCAGAAATCTCTATGCGACATATCTTGAGCGCATTCGATAAAATCAGACCGTCCGTGCAAGAAAAGGTAAGCTCTTTTAATAATAATTATTATTATTATCCGACTCATGAACGCAAATTACAAATCGTAGGATATTAAACATTACGAGAAACTGAAGAAACTATATTCGATAAAAAAAAAATTAGACGATACCCCAATGGAAACTCCAGTAGATACGCCTATAGTGGACGTCGTTATGGAACCCATGGAAACGTGAAATAAAAATATTTAATAAGTATGTAAAAATCTTCCAATTCAAAAGTACACTTTGGATCTGACTAGACCGGACAGAAAAATACATGCCGTATGGTTTAACTTTATTTTTATAATTGAAACGGTTATCCCTAATATTCTAAAATAAAATGTAATATCGTATTTTGATTTATTTCGAAAACTAAACGCTAAAATTTCAGTTGATTCTTATATTTGAACAATTAAATAATCTGAAATATCAAAATTGTTTTAGTAACTTTTCCATAGAGATATATGTTTATAACATTTTTATAAAGTTAAATAAAATTTACGTTGAATGTATTGTCGTCGTGTAATTTAAATAATTCCTAATCAAGTCACACTAGTTTCATGTGCAAATTACATATAATAAAACTATAGTTCTTTTTCTAACGCGAATTAGATGTATTCGTATATCGATATTAATCCTTGCCAACAAATATAGCATAGTTACTTTTTATCCGTTTATAAAAATTTTCTGTTATTTCGTTTACATTAAGTTATACACGTACATTTACTATATAACGCAGGTCTTTAATCGCGCAAATGTATAATTCATCATTTATCATTTATAAATGTTTTATTAACATTAAAAAATACTTAATATATACACAATTTTCTAATACAGCACACATTTCTGCTCCAAACCTTGATAATTAGTAAAATAACTATGAAACACCTGCACCGTCCATATTTTAAATTAATTCAAATAAGTTAGGTCGTAAAAAATAAATGAAAACTTGACTTTATAATAACTATACGATATAATAAATTTCAACTTTCGATCACGTTAAGGCTACGTTTAAAAAACTTAATATCCATTGAACAATAATTATCTGTATAATAAAATACAAGTCATAAAATCCAGATCCAGTCTAAATTGTTTTATATATAATAGGATGATATGAACGATGTAAAAAACGACTATAATTTTTTTTTCTATTTTTCTTTTTCTTCTTCCCCCCGCCCCCCTTTTTTTTATTTTATATGTTTATTATTCTAACGAAACGTCGTTGCTTTATAAAATCGATGATATAACATTTACTTTACGATATAAATGAATTATTTTGTCACTGTACATGTGGTTTCGTTGTTCGATTTTGAACAATCCAGGGATGTTTCAGAACATCCTCTAAAGGTAACCTTTTGTTTGGATCAACTACTAGTAACTAGAAAAAAAAAAAGAAATAAAAAAGAATCAATAATTGTGATAGAACCGAACATCGGTTTAATAAGTAAAACTAACTCACCTGAGATATTAGATTTCTAGCACCATCGCTAACAAAGTCTGGAAATTTGTATTTCGCTTTCTTAATTTTCGTATACGTTTCTTCGTAAGTTTTAGCTAAGAACGGAGGACTACCGACCAGACATTCGTAACATAGAACACCGAGTCCCCATAAATCTACCGTGTGATCGTGCGTTTTTCCAGCCACCATTTCGGGTGGTAAATAGTCTAAAGTACCACACAGAGTATTTCTTCTGGAAGAAGGTGCATGAACGGACCATCCAAAATCTGCCATTTTCAATTCACCCTTTATTCCAAGTAACAAATTTTCAGGTTTAATATCACGATGTATCACTTTTTTACTGTGACAATATTTCAAAGCATCCGCCAATTGAGATATATACGTTGCTGTCCTGACTTCGTCGAAACGTTTCTCAGGTTGGGCATTTAATTCTTTGAATAATTCGCCATTTGGGGCATACTCCAAAATTAAATATATTCTTTTATCGTCGTGAAAGTATCCGTACATTTTTAAAATATTTGGATGCCTATGTAAAAAATTGTTAATTATTTAAATTTATTTTATTATCCAACAATAAGCATTTGTGTCACTAACATGTTTTTAAGATCTTTACAAGAAAGAAACTTCATATTTATCTTAGAAATTTTTCAAACGAATAAAATTTTACCTTAAATGCGTTTGAATTTCTATTTCCCTTCTAACTTGGTGTTCTACATCCGCTTTCTGTATCTGTGCTTTAAATAATACTTTCATAGCGATAATAAATTTTGATTTTTTTTCTCTAGCTAAATAAACATTTCCAAATTTTCCTTTTCCTAAAGGACGACCAATATCAAAGTCAGTTAATACCCATTTTTTATCATTTTGATTTTTATTTTTTTCGTTATTTTTGTCAGTGTCTATCTTCTTTGTACAAGCATTTTCCTTATCACCTTCGTCATCAATTTTATTTTGTTTAGATTCTACCGTTTCAGAAGATGCAGACATAATTAGTTCTGTAGATATTTGTTCCTTATTTTCTTTGTATTTGGTACAACCGGTCAAATAAGTATTAGACTGATCATCTTTCACGGTACTCAAATTTTCCTTGATTTTGAATACATTTTCAGATAATGCAGGATTGACTTTTGATATTTTTAACTGTTTAAGATTATTTTCCATTTGTGCAGTTACTCGTGTTTGAAGAGTAGTTTTTTCGTTCTTTAGCATCGCTGAAATAATATCTACAAGAAAAATAAAGATTCAAAAACAAAAAGTATTTATTAAACCTTATTTGGTCGCTCTGCTTGAAAATGAAATTATATACAATTCCGTTAAAGATAACGTAAATCAACAAATTTTTATAAACACAATTAGTCTGAACATATTTTTATACTTACAAATAATAACTGCATATAACAAAATGCAACCCTTTAAATCTAGATGGCTTAAAACTCGATTTTCACAATTCAAAATCAGTCTATGCAAGCAGACATTTTTCCTCTGTAGCAGTATAATTTACTTAGCTTCGATATTAGTAAATAACGGACTTACTTTGAAAACAAATTATATATTTACAAATTCTACAATGTCGTTCGTGCCAACACCAATTTCAAAATAACGAATTTATTCGTTTCCTTCTGATTGGCTGCAGCAAACACTGTTTCGTAACGAGCCGTATTATTTTGTGCATGCGCGACCGATCGCAACGGCGTATCTATTATCCAGCGAACGTAACGCGGTAATACTACGAGTGCGAATGAACAAATTCAAAACAAATCGAACGATTTAAAAATTTTTCGTAGATCAATATTAATATTTACGCGCATGTATATTGTATGTACTCTTTTGAATCGTAAAAATTTGTTATAGAACTATACGTTAAAGGTACACCTTTTTAATCGTACACCTACTTCGCTGAGATCACTTACGCGACGCATGCGTGAAAAAAGTCCGCCGATCTTGTACACCAATAGTAAACAACCGCATCGCATCGGAGTATATATTCAAGATAGAAAACTCTAAAGAAAAATTTTGAATTCAACGTACACCGCCACCTATCCCACAATCGAAACCAGTAGATTATTCAAAACACGTTGAAATAATTACGTGTACATGTACGCACAATCTTAGAATAAATGTAAACAATTTAGATTTTTTATGAAAATTAAAATTTATTTTTAAGCTCGTATAAAAACTTCAAATGTTTTGTATTTATTATTTGCTTAATTATAATAATATATATACATATTACATTATTGCATTATAAACTTCTTACACATCTTAATGTACCAAATGTGATAGATCGAATAATATGCATTTTGAATATGAATCTTAAAATATTTATTTATTTGGTTAGAGTAATATACTTATTATAGTTTAACAAACATTTGTAAACAGGGTTCGTATATCTATATTACAGACCATATTTAGAAAAATATTCTATATAAAACAAAATTTATATTCTTTTTTATATTCACTTAAGATTAAATCAAACTAAGTTATATATATTTTTAAATCCTAAATATGGCCATTATATCATATACATTTGTAGAAACAATATCGACGATCGAGTAGAAATTAAAGTTCATTGTTCAAAAGTTTTTTATCGAATAAAAATTCTCCTAATTCTCCATGCGTAGCCATCATTTTACCCAATGTTGAGGCTTTTCCAGCTAGATCACGTTGACCTTTGTACTGTTCATCCAAAAAGTCTCCAGTAAAGTAATCTACCAACTGAAATAAAATGAACGAATGAAATATGAAGGATATAAAATACTACTAATTACTACGTTTATGAACAATTTTTTTAATACGACTTACGTGATAATCATTGAAATGGCTGGGTTTGGGGTTTTCGCACGTTATGATAATATCACGAATTTTATTAGTGACTTCTGCTTCTAAATTAAGAGCATACGTGAGAGCATCGAGACCGCTCGTCCAATCTTCACGCCGTGGCATCTGAATACGATATTCCAATATTTAAAAATTCCCGATACGTCGGAAGTTACGCAACAAATAACTCCGAATCGAAGTTTTACTACAGCTTTCAATACGTACCAATGGGAATTTCAAAAGTTCACCAACATCTTTCGTCAATTGACCGCGCATTAATAAGTATTCGATAATTTTGATCGCATGTTCTCTTTCTTCCTTGGCTGCTTCGAAAAAGAATTTACTAAATCCAGGACGGTTAACCGAATCACGGGCAAAGTGAGCACCCTATGATGAAACAAAATAAGTTTCGATGAATATATTATTATAAATAAAAAATAGTAACAATTATAATTACCATAGCTAAATAAGTCATAGCAGCTTCAATTTCTACTTTCACTTGCGATTCCAAAATTTTAGTGCACGGTTCAACCATGTCCAGCCATTTTTTTGGTATATCCGCAGGCTTAAGTGTACCTACGAATAGAAGTACATAATAAAATTTATTCTCGGAAACAATATTGAAATATAATCTTACGGGAGAATAATTTTTAAGTTTATTTACAAATTGTAACAAGATGTTTCGTTAATAATATCATAAGTATATTAAACGACGTAGCATCATATTTTCAAGAATTATTGGAACTATAAATAAGTAATATAATAATGGTCCTAAATTATTAGTCACAATGAAAATGTGTCATTGCAGATAAGATACACCCGTATCTTCTCTAATTACGAAAACATGTATCTCTACGTAGATCGTATCGATCAACATTTTATCATTTATTAACAACTTATGCTTCGCGTTATCTTTAATTCCTTTATAATATAGGACACTGAAACGTAAAACGTTTATGCAATGCTCCATTTAGAATATACATACTTTATAAATTATATTATATACATTAAATTAATGCATAGAAATAAATATTAATACAAATCATTATTGGTTGTTTAATACTTGGCAAAATAATAATAGTAACGTTAAAAGGGGCTGGACAAAGACAACGTTATATTAATTTTCATAGTTTGAAATCGAAACAAAAACTACTTCGCGACAATGAAACAGGAAATCAACGACATAAAGTAGTTTTGATTAAATTATCAGACCTCTCAGAACAATGTACAACACACTCATACTCAATGTGGACTTTAGAACATGCAGCAATCAATACGTTTACGTTGTCACGTAAAGCTTATCAAATGTTATCGCTGTGCAAATAAGATTGTCAACAATATCCAATAATTAACACATTCTATAATCACAGTAGTTTGTACCGAATAAATTCTACTTTAGGCCGAAGCTCTTTTAAATTCTAGCTGGTGAAACTTAACCTAATATATTATTAAAATATAAAGTATAAAATTTTCAATCAACGACTTAAAATAACGACTATCGTTACAAATAAAATATTTATATAACGTATATCATGCAATATATATAAAACTTTTGAAAGGAGAAATATGGTTAAACAATTAGGAATGTGTTATTGCAAAATCCAATTATGTCTAATAATAATAATAAAGATAAACAATTTAACTGAATGGTAAGAACAATGAAATTAAATAATGACATTGTTAAAAAGATTGCATCATATGTTGGATCGCTTGCACAATTTCTGGTATGACAAATTTCTGATAAGTTCTATAAACGGTATTAACAACATAAGGAAAACTATGAAATCATAACATGACTAATAAACTCAAAGTATGAGTTATCAACTTGATGACAAAATAGAAAAGACTTTGATACGATTGGAATGACTGGCGAAACTTAATGCAATTATTTTAAAAGGCTAAATTTTCCCATATACCAAAACATTCTATACAAATTATAGCATCGAAGCGACATAGATGAAAATTTTACCGCGCTTGTACCAATAGGTAACTAACATTCGCTATTAAGGTCATTGAATGTTTAAATTCTAACTTTACTCGTTAAAACATATATAATAGATGTATGTATTTAAGAAACGTGTAGATCGTAGACAATAATGTTCACACGCATAATACGGAATTATAAATAATTTTGACGGTATTCGTCGACATTAACAAAACTATCATATCTGTATAATTGTTGTTTTCGGTAAATTGAAAATACTTTCTTCGAAGACAATGGAAAGAATATGGGACAATGGGGGATATTCGTTAAGGAAACACGTTAACCTCACTTAATGTTTTTATCAATGTTATCGTTAAAATATATTGAAAGTATTACGAAACAAATGATAGACTTACACTTAAGTCCATCTCCTAATGATCCGTTGATGGAAAGGAAAGCGACGAGAAAAACGCAAAGCAGCTTCATCGTTGATTACTTTCAGAGGCTATAATTTAAGAAATCGCGACTATACTTCTTGTTTGTCTGTTTCGGAAGCAACCTTTATACGCACTGGTATAGAAGGCTGCCTTATAATAAAGTTAGATAAGAGAACGTGCGTGAACTAAACACGATGTACGGCCATCGATCATTTAATAATTGACCAACAAATGCGTACCATTCGTATTTTAATCGACGGGGAGGAACTGGAATTTTCTATTCCTTTTCTACCGCGCATGCGTACAACCTATCAGCTGACTATGACTGTGTGAAAAGTACCAACGAACGGTGTTGTTCGATGTTCATTGTTGGAAGAACGTCGAAGCGAGAGTATTCACGTTGCTTCCTTTTAAACGAGCACATCGTTCACGAGTAGGTACGTGTGATTTGGATCATTGAAATTTCGTAACTGTACAATTACTTACATTCGAATGTATAAATAAGAGATAAAGTCGGCACGATAATATACATATATATATATATCGTGGTATTTTTATTATTTTCGATTTTACAATCGAGATACTGCGCATTTCCTGCTAACGACGAGAATACCACTATGCAATATCTGATATCTACGGACGGCATAAATTTTTCTCGATATAGACTCTGCGACGTTTAAAGATTACACTCGAATTCGCATTTATTTTCGATCATAGGTTATATCCCGTCAGTATCAATTTGTACTCGTTACAGGACCGTCTCTTTTCTTTATCTTCAAATTATTATCGATTTATACGTACGTCTTTGTACAGGAACTATATTTAAATCTGTTAATCGTACAAATTAATTTTCCTAGTCAACGCTTGTAAATAATATTGATATTAAATTTTGTTTCCCGCGAATTTGGAAAATTCCTGTGTAGAACAAATTGTACACATTATTCATACTTTAATCGCATGAAATTTCAGAAAATATGTTGTTCTTCGCTGTATCGTCTATTCTCCTGGCAGCGGTCTCCGCTGAATTTTGCTATACAGACGTGGAAGGTGCTTGCAGCACAAGACCAACGGCGAATGGTATAACAGAAATTGGATATTCTACAAATATATTAGTCATTTAAATGTACGGCTTACTAAACGTATCGGTTTTTCTAGAAGGTGCACTAGTACCAAACTGTAACGCGAAATATGGAGCCATCGACAAGCTTCAAGTCGACCTCCAATCTTATGCAACTGCTAATATCGAATCCAGTTTCGAATTTTTATTAATGTCCAGTTATTTTGGAAATTATGAAAATCAACGGGAAGGATTCAAAGGATTATACCGTAAATATTCGGATAAAATGTGGGAGGACGCAATCGATATAATCAAATATATAGCTAAACGAGGCGGAAGAATGAACTTCAATCAGTTGCCACGTTTCAAGAGTCAAGTACGTGACTTAAGATTTTATAATTTTAAAAAATATTTGCATTTTTGGATCGTTTAAACGGCGATGCTAATCGACGATACCCGCTGGATTTATTTCAGACGAAGGAAAGCAGAGTACTAGAACTGAACGAACTGACCAGTTTAGCTAAGGCGCTCGACACTCAAAAACAGCTCGCGAACGAAGCGTTGCACGTACATGCTCAAGCACAGCCCAACAACAAACACGATCCTGCTGTTGCTCATTACATCGAAGAACAATTCTTGGAATCACATGCCGAACGCGTACGAGATTTGGCAGGCTACACGAGCGATATGAAGAAGTTATTAACCGTACGCGATCCATCCGTATCGATATTTTTGTTCGACGAATTTCTTAAGAAAACTCTATAAATTGTTCATAATCAAAATTACAAAGATACGAAACAAAATTTTATACTTATTATATCTGTCTATCGAAAATTCTCCGTATCAGTAAGGTCCGTTCATTACAAAGTATATTCTTTTTTTTTCTTTCTTTTTTAGTTGCGCAGCAAATATCTGCATTTAGAATTACCGAGATATATATATATATATACACATGTGTTAATTTTTCGACATGTTTCATTCAATAAAGTATATACTTTATTTATTATTTCTTTTAATCCTCGCATCGAGCGATTTCGTTTAAAATTATTACTCGGGCAGTGCTCGCCTCTTCTTCGTACAATTACAATTTTCCGGAATATAGCTTTCCTTACGTTTCTACCGGATACTGGATATATTATACCACGTCACGACACAAAGAGAATGTCATATTTCGCGTTACGTATTTTACAAAAGTGAAAAAAAATGCATCGATAACGTACATACGTAATCTATTAAGACGAAAAGCGCGTTAGATAGGCGTTGTTCCTTAAATGTAAAGTAGTATTTCATTTAGTGGATTTATTAAAATTCGTTACAATCGGAATAAATTAATACGTGTCAGAAACGATAAGTAATATGCCTAACGTAACGTATAAGATTGTACCTGACACTAAACACTTATTCTAAACGAATAACTTATAATAATTCTATTTGTAAATATAAAAAAAAAGTGTACGAATAATAATGATTACAAAAAAAAAAGAAGTACGATACATATATGAATTTTACGAGGAAGAAATTATATTTGCAAATAATTATAAAAATTTAAATCACAATATTTTATTTGTTTTCTTCTTTTTACTATTTCGTCAATCAATGCTTGGTTTTATGAACCTTTTAAACATACTTATATCCGAATTTACGACGAATAAATTTTTCGATATTAAAGTAAAAAAATCATAGTCTTCGAAGCGACAAATAAATACTATTAACATAAACATATTGTTTAAAATATCGAAGCACACGATGCAAGTTGATTCGGTCGAAATGAAATATCGTTTTCACGAAAATAAATCGTACGGATTAAAAATATGTTTACATATAAAACGATATTGATTATAATTGAGTTTTTCGACGTAAGTGATCGAAGCAAATCGAAAAATCTAGTAGAATAATAAAAATATGTTATTTACAGCGATTTTATAAAATCTGGAGACATTACCGTACTTTAATAATAATTTAGTTTTCGTAACAAAATTATTGCATCTTTTATTTTAAACATCTTGCTTAATCTAACCCCCCGTCCCTACTATTTATTTAATACTGTAACGATTTCTTCTTTATAATTACGCGCAACGATACATTATTTCTATATTATCGTTTACAAAGATGAGCATATTTTTTTTTTTTCTTTTTTTTTTCAATAACCACCAAGTTCAATTTGTAAAGTATAATTGTCATAAATAACCAGTCTTCTATAGCGACGTTTCACTCGATATTCCGAATTAAATATTTCATCTATCGACGGTATTTACACATCGAACAACCATCTAAAAGAATAAAGTTTAGATTACACGGTATGGAAACATACTTTTTTTTTATTTTTTTTTTTTTTGATTCCTTACCTTTGCACGATCCTTTAAACGTTCGAGAAATTCGCTAGTAAACGAACATTGGTTTTTATAAACCGTGCTGACGTGGCTGCAAGAGTTGATATTTACGATATTAAAATACGTATTCGATAAGAAAAAAAGAAGATTAGAAAGAAAAAAAAATAATAAAATAATTTATTTACTTCGGAAGATGTTACGCGAAGGTGAATCAATAACGACGCGAGTTCGAGATCTTCGCTAAAATTATTTTTTAACGGTACACTTCTATATCCTGGTCGCAAACATCGAACCTAAATATAGAAATCCGTTTCAAAGAGACTATAGGTAATTAAGAATTTGGAAGTAATAATTTTTGGTCGATTACGTACAGGAAACGTAGCTTGTCCAATAAAATTGCTATCGCCGAACATATCTTCGTCTTGCACTACGAATCTAATAAACGCGAAGTACGGATTGATAATTTCGAATTCGCAAGACTCGTTCCACATAGGATTAAATCCGTTATCGGCTGTAATTAAAATTACAATTATCTTTGTACGTAAGAAAGAGCGTATAAGCGGGATCGTGATATAGAAGTTACTTACGGATCGTCTTGGTGGTCAATTTTGTACCGGAATCGAAGTCCGCTCCTATAATTTCAATTTCGACGAAAGGACTAGCTATTCCTCTACCCGATCTGATTAAATGCCTCGCACCGATAACTTTGATAGCAAAGGTAAGCGATTCTATTCCGTACAAGCAAGTTCTATCGTAAGGATCGAAATCATCTCTAAACATAAAATCGGGTTTCAAGATGTAACCACAGTTGCCGTTTTCGCTAAATTTTGCTTGATTAAGTTGCATGGATTTATCGCCAGTTTGATAATTTAACGCTACCATTTGACAACCAGAATTCCACATCGGCACCGGATTATAATTCGAGGAATCGATGCGTTGTCCTTTCGGATACACTCTACTGAATTGAACCTAACCGAAATGCAAATCGTTAATATATCGTAGTAAAGATCCGAACCATTACCGATAGGAAAAAAAAATAAAAAATTTGTACCTGATGATATTTGACGAAAAACTTAGTTTCTTGTTGACACATAAGTTTCTCAGCTTTTGTCTCGGGAAAGCTACTCATCTCGTTAAATATAAAACCTTTGGTTCTTACTCTTTCGATATTAAACGCAACAGATCTGCAATAAACTATTAAATTGGACATTTCTTTCGCTATTCTCCATGCTCGTTCCATTTCCTTGTGTTGATTTTCCTTGGAAACGAAATCGATGTAAATATATTTGATATTCGACACTATCGGTAAAAGAAATCGTATATGTTTTGTACCCTAACGCTAGCATTTTGCGCGGTTTCTTTGATGCTGGACATCCATTCCAACGCCGTATCCTTGGAAGACGTCGCTACCTCGAAGACCGAACACATGCTAGGATTTTGTATCCTCAATATCCATTCTAATCCGGGTCTACCACCTACCCTCAATTCGACAACCGCGCCCATGATATCCAAGGATCCTTTTTGTAGACTACCGAACATCATGGAATCGGTCGACTGAGACGTAAACGTTAAATAAATAAATAAATAAATAGCAGAGGATTTATAGGGAGGAAAAAAAAAAACAAAAAAAAAAAACAAAAAAAAGTGGAAGAAAAGAGCCTTACATCCGATTGATTATCTTGCGGTTCTATTTCTTCGACGTAACTGGCAGGAAACCAATGTTGTTTTTTACCACCATAATCTCCTCGCCACCATCCACCGCTTTGACGATGTACGTTCGTTATTATAGCGTGTTTAACCAAGGTCAATTCGTCGTCTCTTCTGGCTTTGTAATCGTATATAGCTTTGACGGTTACCTTGGAGGAAAGATAGAAAAGATAGAGAAGATAGAATTCGTTAGGTTAGGTGACATTTCGTTACTCACTTTGGATGCAAAACTAGTAGGATCCATGTAACCGGGAATACCGTAAACAGAACCATCGTCCACGTCCTTAAAAAGCGACGGAGTTATATATCGCAACGTTTCTCGGGGAAAAAAATACATTACGTACCAATCCCATTCTTCTGATAACATCTTGATTGACCGGATGACTCAATTTGATCTTTTTGTACAACGGATGCCTTTCGTAATAATTAATTAATTCGACCAAACTTTCGAACTGTATACTACCGATCGTGTAAAGTCGTCCTTCCAATTTGATTCTACAATGCTTTATTTTCCTCTCTGCTCTGAAAGGAAAAAGAATCGGCGAGAGGTAGTCGTCGTCGTCGTCGTCGTCGACGTATTTCGAGAATAGTATTTAAAAGGGAGTATTACCGAAAAGATATAGCGTAAGAATTGGTTTCTTTCTCGCTGGGTCTTACTAAAAATGCTCCATCGGAAGGTATCCGTTTTAACATTTCCTCCGCTAAAGTACGGGTACAATCGGCGTGCCACCATTCTTTTTCTTCGTGTTTATTCGGTTGCGGTACAGGTTCTTGAAGAGTGATTAAAAATTCCTGTTCATTAGATCGACAATCGAATTAAGAGAGAGAAAAGAAAAAAGAAAAAAGAAAATCCGACAACGAACGTAAAAAATTAAATACTAACTTGACTTCTCAAAGGATGATTACGATAGTGCGTAATCAAACTGTACAAACTGTCGAAACAATTGGTATCGATAAGATAATATCGCGTTTGACCCATTTCTTGCTTGAGTTTGATACGACAATGATTTACTTTGCCTTTGCGCCAAAAGGATAGACAATAATCGCCTACGAACGTGACGCATTGTCTGACCAAGAACGTTCCATCGCCGAGATGAGAGTAACGCCTTAGTAATTCTTCGGCTTCCTCTCTTCCTCTGGCTAATTTGCCGTGAAACCATTTTTCTCCGAAATGTAGCTCATCGTTGGGAACTCCCTAATTATAATGCAGGAGTCGTAAAAAAAAAAAGTAATTATAAAATATGTTCGGTACATTAGGTTATACGTACGTCGGTTGGTCGTCGTGTAGCACCTTCTTCGTCGTCGTCGTCGTCGTCGTCGTGTTCGGTCTCTTGGGTTCTGGAAAAGGTGTCGGTGTAAAATAATTTTTGTTGAGTCAATACGAAAAAATGCGGATTCCATTCTCTGTCGACGGGATCTTCGAGATAAAGAATACCGTTTTTAACGGTATTTCGAAGATCCATCTCTTGTCGATTGTCATCGTTTCTAACGAGAAAAGAGGTTTCGTCGACACCGTCGGGTAATTTCTTGTGTTTCAATATAATTTTTCTCCTCAAGGCATTCGGAGAGGGCAAAGCGGTTTCATTCTTATCGATAGGTTGAACCAGTAACATATCACCGAAGACTTCTTGCATGGTAACAGCCATTTTGCGTTGTTGAGGGAGAGTACAATTATCCTCAATGGACAGTATGACAGGATAGCTGTATTTATTAAGATACAAGAGTATTAATACGCGAAAAGTTCGTAAGAACGAAAGGAGTTAATAGAAAATAATACGTACTCGGAAGTGGCAAAAGCGTGATCTTTAATGGTTTTAACGACATCTAAAAATTTAATTTTGGTAGTAAGCGTATGACCATGAAAAATGAACGGCATTCCATCTGGACCATCCCAACAATCGAGTTCTATGCATCTGCATCCAGCTCTTAAGGCGCGAACGTAAGCTTGACAACTGCTTTCGCTGCTAATTTGATCTCCCATAAGATATCTGCAATTTTTTTTTTTGTTCTTCAGTTGTTTGGAAAAAGAAGTAACGCGAGGTTAACATTCGAAGTTAGATCATGTAAACGTTTACGTGTTATGGGAGGAAGCTATCCAATAGCGAGACATCGGTTTAGTCATGTCTTGATATATTCTAGAATATTTGGAATCCCAAAGAGAATTTTGTTTGGAAAAGAGAAAATCGATAAATTCGGAAAAAGTAAAATGCGGTTCTTGCACGTCCCTTTGAGGATCTTGTAAATAATCTCTGATAAAAGAGGAAACCTCGACGTCGTTGTTTCCCAATGGATCTTGTTCTTCGTCGACGAGAAAATTTTGGAAATCTCGTACGGTAACGATTTGTCCATTTTTCGAGTAACGAAGTAATTTATTCCAATCCGTAAGATTCTGGAAATTTATCTATCGAGGATAATCGTGATTACGCAAAGAATAAACGTAATCGCGTTACTCACGTTTTGATCGAACATAAGTTTACGATAAAGTAGAACGAAATCGTCGAAACCTAGTTCGTTCCTGTTTCCGTTATCGATTTCTTGAAAAAATTCTCTAAGTTTGTTCGTAGGTATTTTACAATTGATTCTAGGCAAAAACGCTTTGATATCTTTCAAAGTAACTCTGTAAAAATGGTAACGTATAAAATGTAACCTAACGAAGGATAAGCACGTACATAGGTTAGCGTAAAAGAAGAATATATACGTTTCTCTGGAGTTTTCCATAGCGTAAAACTCTTTTCTTAGCCATCTTTCAACTCGTAAAGGATAGGGAGCCGTTACAGTGTCTCGAAGTAAACGACGTAATCCTTTAACCCAAAGATCGCATTCCTTTTCGCTGAGGGCTAAAAAATTATTTTCTGTTGTTACGCCGAATAGAAAGGAACAAGAGAAACGGACAAAAAATAAATATATGTTTACCAGAAATCGATAGAGTTTTGAGTCTAAATTCTGAACCGTAATAGACGACGAAGCATCTGAGATTTTCGATTCTTTTAGCATCTTCTGGCCACTTTTCGAAATCCTTGGAGTGCTTGCCTACTTTGATCTCTTTGATTTCTCTAATTTCCACTAAAAAAATATGACAGCGACAGTAGTATTAGGTGATAATAACAGTAAAGCGATAAGGTTACCTGAACCATCGAAAGGCCTAAAGGTAGGACTTCTCGACCATACGATTTGTCTAGTCTCCCTTCTGATCATAAGAGTTTTCTTCTCGGGTCTCTTTCTCGAAAAGAATTTCGTAACAACGGTGCCTCTTTCCAATAAAGAAATAATAATTTCCATTTCGGGTATAATAGGATTCATTTTAGGTTATGTCGCGTAATTATAGCGGTGCCAACTTATCGACTGTGTAATCAGAATACGCGACACAAAATAGTCACGAAAGGAATGAAAAGTAGATGGGTGTCAACGGCAGTAGCGCCAACTCGAAAGTTTGACGGTATCCAACACTGCCAACTGCACTTGCCCACAGAACACCTGACATCAAGAAGGTCATTCGTCATTATCGCAGTATCGCCACCCGTTGAGTATTAGAGCAGCGAAGGATCGCCAACATGATAACTGAACCGGAAGCGATTAGTTCGCGGAAGCGCCAACCTGAAAACGTAAATACCGGCCAATGAGAAAGACACAATCGCCGCGATTCGGAACAGCCACCTTCTAAAATAAAAAATGCGAAGAAAATTCGAAAAGACCTCGAAGAAGCCAAGGAAATTCCGAAAAGTCTATGAAAATCAAAGAAAAGAAAACAATAATCGATAAAAAAAGCAGAAAAGGAATCGATTTAGCGGTATTTTAACGAAACGAAGGAAACGTGAATCGCTATATACATCGATGTGAACGGGTACAAGCATCGATGTGAACAGGCGAAAGCAGCAATGTGAACGGGCACACGCACCGATGTGAACGGCACCTCGGCGTCCCTGATTGGTCCGCGCCCGAACCAATCGACGCGAAGGGTTCTCTCTCGATGCTGCCAACCTGCGAGACGCGTCGCCGCCATTCGCAATAGCCAACCTCGAAAAAGAAAACAAAGAACACGAAGAAAAAACGAAAAGACCTCGCAAAAGCCGAAAGAAACATCGAAAAGCTTCGAGGAACGAAAGAGAACGAACAGAGAGCGACAGAAACAAAGAATAGAACTCGATTTACCGTTGTTACAACGAAACGAAGCCAATGTGAACGGGTGTACGCGTCGATGTGCACGGGGCCGAAGCATCGATGTGAACGAGTATAGGCAACGATGTGAACGGCACCTCGACGCCTCTGATTGGTCCGCGCTCGAACCAATCGACGCGAAGGGGTCTCTCGATGCTGCCAACCTCCGAACGTGCGGCAACGCAACGCTGCCAACCTGAGAGACGCGTCGCCGCGACTCGGAATAGCCAACCTCGGAAAAGAAAGGAAAGAACGCGAAGAAAAATGGAAAAGACTTCGCAAAAGCCGAAAGAAACATCGAAAAGCTTCGACGAACGAAAGAGAACGAACAGAGAGCGACAGAAACGAAGAATAAAAGTCGATTTAGCTATGATACAACGAAACGATGCCAATGTGAACGGGTGTACGCGTCGATGTGCACGGGGCCGAAGCATCGATGTGAACGGGTATAGGCAACGATGTGAAAGACACCTCGACGTCCCTGATTGGTCCGCGCCCGAACGCGTCGACCTGAAGGTGTCTCTCGATGCTGCCAACATCGACGAAGCAACGAAAAATCGCACGAAATGCGAAGAAACGTCGAAAAACGCGAAGACGAGTCGCGAAAGCTTTCAGAAAGCAAAGAAAACGAATAAGAAGCGACAAAAAGGAAGAAAAGAAATCAATTTATCCGCATTTTAACGAAACGAGCGAAATGTGAATGGGTGTACGCCTCGATGTGAACGGGGCAAACGCACCGATGTGAAAGGCACCTCGACGTCTGTCATTGGTCCGCGCCGAAAACGCAACGACGCGAAGTAGTGTTCAGGAAGTGCCAACATCGAAAAAAGCAATGACAAAATCGCAGGAAATGCGAAGAAACGTTCAAAAAACGCGAAGACCAATTGCAAAAGCCTCGAAAAAGCAAAGACAACGAAGAAAAGCAATCGTTCTCGCCGCATCGCAACGAAGAGAAGCCGATGTGAACGGGTGTACGCACCAAAGTGAAAGGCACCTCGGCGTGCCTCATTGGTCCTCGCATCGACGTGAACAGTGTCTCGGAACTACCAACATCGAAAAAGCAAAGACAGAATCGCAGGAAATGCAAAGATACGTCGAAAGAAGCAAAGAGAAACTGCAAAAGCGTGCAAAAAGCAAAGAAAAGTACGAACAAATTGCTTTAGCCGCAATAAAACAAAGCGAAGGCAAAGCGAGTAGGTACGAGCATCGACGTGAACTGGCCTAAGCATTAATGTGAACTGGTAAAAGCATTAATGTTAACAGGGCATAAGCATGAATGTGAAGGGGCCTAAGCATAAATGTGAAGCGGTAAAAGCATCAATGTGAAGGGGACAAAGCACCGATGTGAACGGGGCAAAAGCATCGATGTGAACAGGTATACGCACCGATGTGAACGGCTCCTCGCCACCTCTGATTGGTCCGCGCCTCCAACGCATCGACGTGAACCGGTATTTCACTGTTGCCAACTTCGGAACGCTGCCGAATACATCGAACTCGTTTCCAAACGATTATCCCACCGTTAAAGCAAACGAACGCGCAGAAAACATTAAAAGCTTCGAGAACACCACGCGAA